TCTCTCTCTCTCTCATTTATTTATCTTGTTAGTGCCAGTGATGCAACTCAGGGCCCTTCACATGCTAGTAAGGGCTCACCTCTGAGTTACATTCCTAGTCCAGAATCTCCATTTTACCACCACTCCTTCCTGATCACTGCATTTCTTGTTAAACAGCTTCTTTCTTAGATAAAAAGTGAGGAATTTCTTTAAAATGGACATTTTTTCACATGCTGCTTGGAAGCAGTCAATTACAACAGAGAGCTATGAAAAAAAATTACACCAGAGAAAAGTAATTTATTCAAGGCCATTGACATCGGTCACCTGGATCCTTTCAAGACCTGACTTCAAGTTTAAGGAATCCCTTTGCTCAAATTAGTTTTAGCAGTGGGAACCTCATCAAACATCAGTCCCTGCCAGGCATGGTTGGCACACACCTGTAATCCCAGTGACTCAGGAGGCTGGGGTAGGAGAACTGAAATTTTGAGGCCAGCTTTCACAACTTAATAAGACCTTCAATAACTTAGTGAGACCCTGTCTCAAAGTAAAAAATAAAAAGAGCTGGTTATGTGGCTCAGTGGTGAAGCGCCTCTGGGTTCAATCCCTAGTACTTGGGAAAAAAAAAAATCAGTCCCTATAACCCACTGATGCCCCTAGCAAGAGACCTTGCTTCGGCCTCTTAATAATACATTTTTAGGGCTGGGGCTGGGGCTCAGTGGCAGAGCGCTTGCTTCGCGTGCATGAGGCATTGGATTCGATCCTCAGCACCACATAAAAAATAAACAAATAAAACAGAGGCATTGTGTCCATCTACAACTACAAATTTAAAAAAAAAATACATTTTAAGTTAAAACATGTAGGGCTGAGGGTGTAGCTCAATGGTAGAGCATTTGCCAAGCATGTGTATGACCCTGGGTTCAATCCCCAGGACCTTGGGAGGTAAGGGGGCGGGGAGATAAAAATGTTTACCCTCTTAGAAAATAAAAATAAGAAAAAAAAATTTTTAAATAAAAAGCAGCAGATCTCTGGCTCCAACTGTCCTGGGAGAACTTCGACTCTCTAGGTTCCTCCTGCAGGTAGAATCATACAGATAGAATCATACTCTTTTCGCCTGTCTTATTTCATTTAGCATTTCTTCAGGGTCCATCTGTATTATAGCATGTGTCAGAATTCCTTCCTTTTTAAAGCTGAGTGTAGTCTGTTGTATGGATACACTACATCTGGGCTATTTCTGCCTTTCTGCTCTTGTGAGTAATTCTGTTATGAACACACAGTCTTGAGTCCCCATTTTCAATTCTTTGGGGTGTATATATATATATATATATATATATATATATATATATATATATATATTCAGGAGTGGAACTGAAGGATCATACTGTTACTCTATTTTTTATATTTGGGAGCCCTTCCCCCCAATACTATTTTCCATAGTGGCTGTACTGTGGGGATTGAACCCAGGATCTTGAGCATGAACTCTACCACTGAGCTACACCTGAAGGCCCAATGCTTTTTACCTTTTTTTTTTTTGCAGGACTGGGAATTGAACCCTGGGGTGTTCTATCACTGAGCTACATCCCCAGCCCTTTATTTTAATTTTTATTTTGAGAGACGGTCTCACTAATTTGTCTAGGCTGGCCTCAACTTGCAATACTCCTGCCTCAGACTCTCCAGTTGCTGGAATGACAGGCATGTGCCACTTTGCCTAGATGTGTTTTTACTTTTAAAATGTCCCTGAGTCCATAAACAGTATATTGTATCATTTTCTCTGTACATTTTACATTTGTTCAGAATTAGCCAGTGTAATCCCAATGGCTCAGAGGCTGAGGCAAGAGGATTGCAAGTTCAAAGCCAGCCTCAGCAACTTAGCAAGGCCCTGAGCAACTTAGCAAGCTCTTGTCTCAAAATAAAAAATAAAAAGATCATTAGTTAAGCACCTCAGGATTCATTCCCCAGTACCAACAAAATGACTAAAAAAAAAAAAAAAAGGAAAAGCACTTATAATCATGCCATGTGAGTAATAAGTGCTTTTAGTCTAGGTTTTGTATTCATAAACAATGCATATTATGCTTTTATGATTACATTCTATGAAGCACAAGGATTCCAATTTCTCCGCATCCTCACTAACACTCATTGTTGTTGTTTTTGCAGTGCTGGGGCTAAGCCCAGGGCCTTTAATGTGCCGGGCAAGTGCTCTACTGTGTTAAAACCCCAGTCCTTTATTTTATTTTATTTTGGTACCAGGGATTGAATCCAGGGGTGCTTAACCACTGAAAAACACCCCCAACCCTCTTATTTTTTTATTTATTATTTTGATACAGGGTCTCACTAAGTTGCTGAGGCTGGCCTCAAACTGTTTTTTTTTTGCGGGGGGTGGGGCAAGGTTACTGGGGATTGAACTCAGGGTACTCAACCACTGAGCCACATCCTCAGCCCTATCTTGTTTTTTGTTTTTTTTTTTTTTTAAAGAGACAGGGTCTCACTGAGTTGTTTAGTGTCTTGCTTTTGCTAAGGCTGGCTTTGAACTCGCAATCCTCCTGCCTCAGCTTCCTGAATAGCCTGGATTACAGGCATGCACCACCATTCTTGGCTTGTTAATTTTGTAAAAATATTTATTTTTTAGTTGTAGTTGGACACAACACCTTTATTTCACTTATTTATTTTTTTTATGTGGTGCTGAGGGTCGAACCCAGGGTCTCACACGTGGGAGGTGAGTGTTCTACCACTGAGCCACAACCTCAGCCCCATGGCTTGTTATTTTTTAATAGTAGTTATCCTTATGGATATAATGTGGTATCTTGTGGTTTTGATTTGTTTCCTTAACAATTAGTGATATTGAGTATCTTCAGGTACTTATTGGCCCTTTGTGTATCTTCTTTGGAAAAATAGGTCAAATGAACAGTTTCAAGTTCATTTGACCTATTCTAACTTATTTAATCTTCTTGTTGCTTACTTTCTCTTGTTATTTACCTCTAAACATTTTCTTATTCTGCCATTTCTTGATTTTCTGTTTGAGAAAAGACTTTTGTCTGATAATGCCTCATAACATAGTTTTGTTGTTGTCGTTATTATTGTTATTACTATTATTTTGGCACTGGTGATTGATCCCAGGGGTACTTCATCACTGACCTACATCCCCAGTCCTTTTTTTTTTTAATATTTATTTTTTAGGTGTAGGTGGACACAACATAATGCCTTTATTTTTATGTGGTGCTGAGGATTGAACCTGGGTCTAGCCCGTGCTAGGCGAGCGCTCTACCGCTGAGCCACGATCCCAGCCCCCCAGTCCTTTTTATTTTTTATTTTGAGGCAGGGTCTCAATAAGTTGCTGAGAGTCTAAGTTGCTGAGGCTGGACTCAAACTTGTGATCCTCCTGCTTCAGCCTTCTGAGTTGCTGGGATTACAGGCATGGGTCACTGTGTCCAGCTATTGTGTTTATCTGATGAGTCAGTTTTTGAAGCAGAAAAGGGAAGGATATTGGCAAATGGGAGGAAATCAGGGTTTTCTTGGGGATAACCAATGGCATGAACAAAATCCCAGGGAACATAAACTGTGAGAGTCCTGTGCAGCATCCAGCAGACATGCTCAGCTCAGGCACAAAGTCTCCCAGGGAGCAAGAGGGTCTGAGCTGGTATAGAAAGTTGGATGGCCTGGATGGGCATGTGCCCTGCTCCCCACTTCCAGGACAGCCCAGTGTCTGGGAAACCCAGGATGGAGGTCAGGTCAGGATGGAGCTCCTCCCTCATCCCAGCACAGACCCTTGAACTAGTAAGGGAGAACAAGGGCCTGTGGGACCAGCACTAGCCCTTACTTCATAGAGAAAATGATTTACTTGGAGCAGGGCAATGATTTACCCAGGGTTACCCAGCAAGCCAGTGGCAAAGGCTACCAGGCAGGACTAGGAGCCTGGATGAGGGATACTTGCCAGTGCTCCAAGTTGCCTGCGGTTAGGAAGACATGCCCTTGCAAGTCCAGCTCCTCATCATCTCTCTGCTCCTTTGATTAGTTGCCGCAATCCCATAAAATGTGAAAGGTGGGGACCATCCTCACAAGCCAGTATTTTGAAATCACTCTGAATATCATAAAGAGGAGCAGTGGAGTGACCTCAGTTGAGCCAAAGCTCAAAGGTTCCTCAGGCCAGGCTCCACCCTCAGCGATGGCTTCCACCTGGCTTGGCTTTCCTCAGGGCCTCCAAGTCAGGAGAGGGCAGGCCACTTGCCATGACCTCTTGCCCTTTACTCTCCCCTTCCTCCTCTGAAAGAAGAGTCAAAGAGAGAGCGAGGAGGCTTGAGCTGAGTGCTTTCCATTCAGCCTCAGGGAGACTCAGAGAATTGTGTTTTAGGTCTTAAGTTGGCACAGGAAGATGGCAGATAGGATACACAGGTCCCACTCCATGAGGCCACCAGACAGCCCTGGTGGACAGCCCTGTAACCATGCTTGGTGGCGGGGGCGGCATCAAGGCAGAGACATAGGGGGAGGGTGTGAGGTGGGGATACCGCCTGAAGCGGATGCCTGGCCTCTCTGGGGACTTGACCCCGCGCCTGCGGGCACAGAGGGATTCTTTCGCAGCACTCTTTGTCCCCGAGCCTCCCGCCTGTTTCAGGCTCCCTGTTCCAGCTGGCAGCCCTCGGGGCCTGGATGCCGGTTCCTTTAATCTCTGGCTCACCACCCCGTGGGTTCCCACGTTGCCCTCGCGCTAAACGGGTGCAGGGGCCTGCGCAGCCTTGACCTTGCCATCTGGCTCAGCACTGAGGCTCCGCCGTCTTCCCCTTTAGGAAATTAACAAACTCCTCGGTTGCTACACCCAGGCCGTGTCTTGGGCTGCAGCCAGGCCTTCGGATTCAGAGGGAAACCAGGGCAATTCTTGGAGGGTGGGCTGGGAGGGACGCGGTCCCACGCGAAGGTGGCCCAGGGCGCAGAGTCGCCCCCTCCCGCCTCGTCTGGCTCCGCCCCGGCGGGACCGAGTCCTCCGCACCCCATAGGCAGAGGCGACCCTCCCGCCTCCCCGCCTGTTCCGCGCTCGCCCCGCCTCGGCTCACTTTAAAAGTTTACTCGGGCCGGACTTGCGGTGGAGCGAGCTGTCTCTGCCGGCATGCTGCGCCTCCGGAGGCTGTGTGCCATGAGCCTGGCGGTGCAGGGGCCCCGGCCTGTCCTCTCTCCGGGATGGCAGGAAGCGAATTCGCAGCACGTCCGTCCGCTCAGGTACCCGCCCCGGGGCGGAGAGGGGGCTGGGCAGTCTCCCGGAAAGGAGCTGGGGGGATCCTGCAGAGCTTCCCTGGGGACCCATCCCACTTGCTGGGAAGCCCGTCTCTGGGCCTCCTTGGGATGGTTCTCACTGGTACCCCCATCTAGTACTCTAGTACCTAGGCAACAGGAAAAACTGGCCTGGCTTGGGACAAGGGCCGCTGCTGGCCACAGTGGTCCTGTCTTGAGTCTGATCTAGTCCAGGACTGTAGATTCTTCCCTTTATGGCCCAGGAGTGTGGGTCTGTAGCGATCTATCCTGAGGGGCAGGGGCCAGGACCAAGATCTGTGCTCTGTCCCTAGAACCCAGCCTCTGAGCTGCAACTCCTTCAGGGATAAACTTGGGGATCTGCCTGGATGTCTCCCCTCCCCCCACTCAGGCCACTGAACTCAGCAGTCTCCTCAGTCCTCATCAGCTGCTGACAAATAGGTTCCTTGCCACCTACTCCTGGGCCTTAGTTTTTGTGCATCCTTAGTGCAAAGGGATGGGGGCTGGCAGTGGAGGATGTAGGTAAAGCTGATGTTGCAAGCCTTTGGGAGGACCCCTGAGACTGCAAGGGAAAGGCCTTGGTTAGGTGGATTGGCTCTCCCAGGAGATTAGAGGTGGTATTACCTTCAGCACCCAGCACTGGCAAGCCCAGTGTGCAGACTGCCCTGCCACCCATCTAGGCAGGGTGCTAAATCTGCGGTCAGGGCACCATTTTTCCACACCATATGGGCTGTGGGCCTGGACAGGGAAGAAACCTAACAGGAAACCATAAAGAGTGTGATTAGTGCTTTTTGCATAAAGAAGGACCATGAAATCATCTGGCTTCTCTCTTTGTGTAGCTTCTGACAGCAATATCTAGCAACCTATCCTGTGTTATCATGTCAGCCATTTCAAGGGGAGAAAAAAAGTTGGGGAGGCACGATTGAGGATCATTTTTCACAATTTAGCAATATGTAAGCAACAGCCTTTCAACTATAAAAAAAAAAAAAAAAGGAAGAATGAATTCCACAGTTAAAATAAAGAAAGAGGACTTTAGCTGGGTGCGGTAGTACAAGTCTGATTTCAACTACTCAGAAAGCTGAGGTAGCAGGATCAAAAGTTTGAGGCCAGTTTCAGCAACTTAGAGAGACCCTGACCCACAATAAAATAAAAAGGACTGGGGATGTAGCCCATTGGCAGCGTACCCCTGAGTTCAAAAAAAAAAAAAAAAAAGAAAGAAAGAAAGAAAAAGAAAAAGAAAAGAAACCTAACAGGACTGGGTCTTCAACAACTAGATTTGGTATTTAAAAAAAAAAAAAAAATGGCTAGAGGAGTTCAAGGGAGTTGCACATTCCTTTTAGGCTAGTAGGCCAGAACTCTTAGGATCACATTTATTTATTTTTTTAAACTCTTAGAATCACGTTTATTTATTAGCAATGTTCCTAAAATCCAGAAAACACCATACTTTAACATCATTCTGTTTCATTTTGTGAGAAAACCCAGGGGGATCCAGTCCTGTCAACAGATGGGGTCTGGAAGAAGGGAACTGGGTTCTCTTCCATCCCCCTCCTTCCCTCCCTCCCAGTGCCCTCCTAGGCTAGCTCAGCCCCACCCCCCACCCCCCAGCCTCCAAGCCTTGCTTTTGAACTCCTGTGTGCCCTCTTAGGCTATGAGGACTCTGAAAGTTACTCCTCAAAATGTACAAATTTTATGATGCTAAATCAGGCTCATAGGGCCACACAGCAATATTCCTGACCTTTGACATTTTCTTGTGTTAAACAAAGCCGGTCACTTTCCTGCCCCAGGCCTCTGACCTCTGAGAGAGGGGGACATCAGGACTCAGAGAAATTGTCTCTGTGTCAGGAAAAGGCCTGTTTATGTAGGGAGTTAAGATTTCCTGAGTGTTTGGCCTAACTTTTTTCCAATCCTTCCATTCCCTCTCTCTTGTGCTCTTACCCATGGTCTGATTTCTTCCCTACTTTTCTGTTCAGAAGCCTCAGCTGTCTCAAACATTCAGCAAGCACACCTAAGAACACATGCTGTGTCCAGCCCTAATAGGTGCTGTGGGTGTAGAAGCCTCAGAACTCAGTCCTGAGCCTTCTAGGAACTTGGCAGAGAGAGAGAAATCAAGATGATTACTGGTAGTGTTCCAGGTACCACGGTGTGGAAGCTTCTGGACTTCTGTCTTCCACTTGTTCTGATTTGGTCACATGTAGTTTCTTTCCTGCTGCCCAGCACCCCAGGCCTCTTATTTCAGGTCACTGAGGTTGCTTGTCAGGAAGGAGCAATAACTTCGTAGCCAGTCCGTCTTGAGTGACATCTTGGATCCTTCACTTCTGGGTCATGTTTCCTAACCTCTGAACCTGGGTTAGTTTGTTGCTAATGAATACCCACTTGCTGGTTTGTTGAGTAAATGGACAAAAGCTTGCTCTTGTGTTTTGCCTTTCCTTTGACGCAGGGCTAGTTCTAGAAAGCTAAGATCTAGAACTTGTATGTACCTTAGCAATTTCATCACGAGACAATGTCTTGAATCAGTCTCTAGCTATGAGTGACTCCCGGGCTCTTTCCTCTGGGGCTCTATAACAGTGTCTCAAGGGGAAACCTGAAGCATAGATGCCTCCTGAATCCAAGTGTTTCTGGCCTTCAGAAATGTCCCCTGTATTTTTGTTGTTGTTTGTTTGTTTTTGTTTTTGGTGCTGGGGATCAAACCCTGGGCTTCACACATGCTAGGCAGATACTCCATGACTGAGCTACACCCTAGCCCGATCCCCTTTCTGTTTGAGGGAGTTTACTGGACCCAAATAACAACTTCCTTTGTACTTTTTCTCCATACCCACAAAGACACACATACCAGTGATTCCTTTTAATATGGTGAGAATGGAAGCCACCACCAATAGACTAGCTTGTTCAAGAACTTTACTGTGACCCTTATTATGCAAGAAGTCTTTGTAGTCTGTTTCTTTCATAGGCTGTATATTCATTCCCTCAGGGTATGTTGGGTGGTGATCATAGGGCTTTATGATATAATTACATACAGTAAATTTCACTAAAGTTCACTAAATTTTAATTGCCTTTTTTTTCTATTGGCTATAACCGAATACCAGACTGAGCAATGTACAAGGAATAGAGGTTCACTTGGCTCAAGTTCTGGAAGCTGGGAAGTACGAGAGCATGAAGTCCTATTTGCTCAGCATTTGGTGAGGGCCTTCCCCACTGGTCGTAACGTGGCAGAGAGCATCACATGGTGAGATGGAGAAGATCGGCCAGGGAGAGTTTGTTTGTAGTACTGGGGATCAAATCTAGGTCCTCAAACATGCTAGGCAAGTCAAGTGCTTTACCACTAAGTTATACCCATGCCCATTTTATTTTTGAGACAGTGTCTCACTAATTGCCCAGACTAGCCTTGAGCTTGTGATCCTCCAGCCTCTGAACATGCACCATTACACCTGGCTTTGAGACATTAATTGATGATAGAACTTCTTTTTAAAATTTAATTAAGTTAATTAATTATTTTTTTTTTTAGTTGTCAGTGGACCTTTGTTTTTATTTGCTTATATGCGGTGCTGAGAGTCAAACCCAGTGCTTCACACATGCTAAGCAAGCACTCTACGACTGAGCCACAACCCCAGCCCAGATGATATTGCTTCTTTAACTTAGTATAGCTAAAATGTCATCTCAATGTGTAATCAATCTTTGAAAAAAAAATTGCCAGTGAGATACTTTCTTTTGTTTTCTCATAATGTGTTCTAAATGGGGTGCGCGTCTAATATCTATGGCATGTCTTCATTCCAACTAGCCACATCTTAAGGGTTCCATAGCTATATGTAACTAGGACACCATAGAGACCAGACAGATCTAGAAATTTCTCTCATGCCCCTTTCACGTTAATTTTTTTCTCTAAAAAAATTTGATCACAAGTTTGATCACAAGTTCAAGGCCAGTCTCAGCAACTTAGTGAGATCCTGTATCAAAATAAAAAATAAAAATGGGGTGAGAGGAGAGGAGGGAGGCGGAAGTGCTAGGGAGTGATATTGGCCCATTTATGTTATATTGTATGCATGTATGAATATGTGACAACAAATCCCACTATTATGTACAACTATAATGAACCAATAAAAAATGTGGAGGGGAAAAAAAAAAAAAGGACTGGGGATGTAGCTCAGTGGTAAAGCGCCCCTGGGTTAAATTCCTAGTAGCAATTTAAAATAAAAATAAAATATTTCCATCATGTATATTGTTTTCTTTATACACTTATCTGTTGATGGACACCTAGGGTGGTTCCATAACTTGGCCATTGTGAATTATGTTGCTACAAACATGGGTATGCATGTATCTCTAGCACATGCTGACCTTAGTTCTTTTGGGTAAATACCCAGGATTGGTATAGCTGGATCATATGGTGGTTCCATTCCTAGTCTTATGAGGAAACTCCATGCCAATTTCTATAAAGGCTGCACTACTTTACAATCCCTCCAATTGTGTGTAAGATCCGCCCCACCCCCAACCCCTGTATCGTTGCCAGCATTTATTGTTATTTGTATTCTTGATGATTGTCATTCTAACTAGAGTGAGATGAAATCTCAGTGTAGTTTTAATTTTGCATTCCCCTGCTGCCCAAAGACATTTAACAGTCAAATTACTTTTGGCCATTTGTATTTCTTTTGAGAAGTGTCTGGTTAGTTCATTTGTCCATTTATTGAATGGGTTATTATTTTTTTGGTGTTGAATTTTTTAAAAATTCTTTATATATTCTAGATATTAATCTTCTGTTGGAAGAGGAGCTGGCAAAGATTTTCTCCCATTCTAGTATGATGCCATCCCTTTGATTTATTGATTCCCAGTGTTATTTCCTGAGCTATAGGAATCCTATGGAGGATGTTGCTGCCTATGTCTTTTTTTTTT